TCGTTTAACACGATTGCTTGTCTGGAAGTCCATACCCAGCGGCTCGTGGTCCTTTAGGTGTTGGCGCTAAAAAAAAGTATAGGGAATGGGAGTTCATTTGCAAGTGATCAACCGGTTAGATTCAAAATGGTCCGGTTGTCCACTTGAGGGGGAGTGTTAAGAGTATCCCACATCGGAAAAGTGTGAGGAAAATAATCGGTATATAAGCTCTTGAGTTGAACTAACTAATCGATTGGATTCAATCTTTTAATGCGGTTCAACCCAAGACTCTTATTGCCCAATCCAGTTGTCCCACACCCAATCCTAAATTCTATCAAACACGTTTCTTAAACAGTACGAAGTCAAAGTGCAACTTTCTTTCGGGAGTAATACCTAAGAAGTCTAAATATATGCAAGTACAATTTCTTAGTATGAGAATAAGAGACCTAATGCAGGTGATGGGGCATGAGAGTAAGAGACCTAATGCAAGACAAGTAGTTAAACAGTTGATTGCAGAAGAGGGCTGGACTGGACTTTACAGAGGCCTTGGCCCAAGATTTGTCAGCATGTCGGCCTGGGGTACCTCTATGATTCTCGCCTACGAATATCTCAGTAAGCCCTCTTCCCATCCATTTTCATGAGTCATGATGATCTAATTTGTTTCCTTTTTCTCTGCTCTTCCATTATTGCAGCTAAAATCGTATCTAGGACTGTGTGGTTTTAAGTACTAACTGACGAGTGATTTGCTTGTTTTGATGTAGAACGTTTATGCGCCAGGGAGTGATGAGGTTCACGGACAACACAGGACTTTGCCTTGATTGCGGGTCCCATCTTTGGAGCTGGAACACACACAGTCAGAGGTATTTGTGAAATGTTCTATTTGGTTCCTTCATATTTTTTTTCCAAGTCAGTTAACAGTCGTCTGTTGTTTGTCTTGGAAGAATTTATTGGTTTTTTTTAAATGCTTGGGAAATGCATATGACAAGTCATTTGACTCTCCACAACAAAATCTGCAATAGAAAATTTTGTAAATTGCTATTTGTTGCATTGTTACTTTGTTAGTTCACAAAATGGGAATTTTAGGCATTTGAGATAAGGTCTTCTTCTGCTTATTTTCATCAACCATTTGAGATATCTTTCTGAACATATGTATGCTGCTAGGTAAAGAAGGTTTAGGTGCTCTTTTTTTCTTTGGCTTGAAATATCTAATTATTACTCATTTAGTCGTATACTCTTAGAGTTATATGAGTACTAAAAGATAAAATTGCATGAAGAACTCAATTTTCTCTCCTTATTTACTCCCTTCGTCTAGGAGTAGACACGGGCCGGTTCTGGAACCGTTGAAAAGAGGGACACTGCCCCCCGAGAGAGGAACTTCCCCCAGTACCGGTTCCGGAACTCTTTTTTTTGTTACATTGAATTTTTGGTGTAAAAAAAATACTTATCTAAATGTAGTTGTTATTTGTAAAATAGCTAATCTAAATGTAGTAAATGTCTAACAAAGTTTAAATGAAAATAAAGTCAAAATCGGTTGGGGAACTGGAACCGGTATTGCCTCGGAAGGTTCCGGTTCTCCCAAACCGCTCCAAAGATTACACTTCCAGTTATTGAACCGCTGGTTCTGGTACCGCTTTAAAAGTATGTTCATGTCTACCTTCGTGTCTAAAAGAATGTCTTGGGTTTACTTTCACGAAGTCTAAGAAAAAAAATCAAATTGTGTTGCGGAGATTTATGAAGATGAGAGAAAAATAATGTGAATCAGTCATTTCTTTCCTTAAATAGAACAAAACATTGGTTTTGGACTATGCTGCACGGAAACTCCATATAGGCTGCCGTACCCGTTTCGGACACCTTGGACACGCCGACACGCCACGGACACGCCTGGAGACGTCTCGGAAACTTCACGTGGCGTTTCTGTAATTTTAATTTTTAAAAAAAAGAAAAAAACTCCAAGGAAACGGCTGGGACACACGTGTCTCTTTTGGGAAACGGCAGGACACCTCTTTTTAAAAAAATGGGGTTCTTTTTATAAATTTTAAAAGTTTTGAAACTGACTCAAATTATAAAAAGTATTATCTGGCCCTAAATCTTCATTGCTCCTCTGTGTTACGCGGCTATCATATTCATCGACAATAGACAGCGGCCTTCGAAGAAGCTTTACGCAGCTGGTTGGCCAACTACTCGCCGACAAAGGGCGCGACATCAGGTGAAGTGTTCTCTCCAAATAAGCTTCTCGCCGACAAAGGGAGAAGCTTACGCCGCTGGTCAGTGACTTCTGGATTTTATGTTATGTATTTTGAACTTATTTATGCTTTAATATGTTTTGTAATGACTAAATTATGCTCTCTTTTGAACTTATACTTTAATATGTTTTGTAATGACTAAATTATAATATGTCTTGTGAACTTATACTTTAATATGTTTTGTAATGACTAAAATATGTTATGTATTGTGAATTTGTTTACATAATTTTATTTATATATATAATTTTTATATATAAATTTGGCGTTTCCCCGGCGTTTCGTCTCTTCATTTTTTCAAAATAGCCGTTTCAGCGTGTCCGTTTCGTTTCGTGTTTGTCCCCGTTTCCGTTTCAGTGCTACATAGGTTTTGGAATATCCAAATTAAAAAAAAAGATATTTTTCAAGGACAGAGGTAGTATTAATTTTTGAGGATGAGTACATTTTTTAAAACTCTAATTCTAAGCAAAATGTAACATTTTGGATAGAATGTACCCTGCACCCTGGGGGCATATATACATTTTCAGATAAGAAGAAAAAGAAATCAAATGCCTATCTCATGATTTGAGAAATGGAGCTTCTATGGAGGTGTTCAATTAATTTTTTTTGTGGAAAAAAAGGGAGATTTTATTTGACCATTTAACCATTTCAGAAATGAGAATTAATGCATTTGACAATATAAACATCCCATGTGCATCTGCTAGCATCAAAGCTTTGACACAGTGAAATTTGTAGAGACCAAAGGAGTAGTAAGGTGTCATAGTATGACACGGGAGTCCTACACCGCTCGGCCGTGTTGGGTCATATTCCTCTAATCCCACCCACAAATCCAACCGTCCAATCCCCCGGGATGTTGCCGAAATGGAACAATGGGTGGGGTCGGAGTGCAAGAAGTTAGGTTTCTGGGAAAGATTAGAGGGACAGAACTCGTCGTAGAAATAGTTCAGTGTCATAATAGCCATAATATTATGACACTGAAAACCGGTGTCAGCAATAGGCAGTTGGGAGAATAATGAGGCTGTGGCTGTCACTGAACACTCCTATTTATTACTCGGTTTCATTCAAAGAAACAGATAATCTGTCACTTATTATGTACCTTCCTTAATTTAATTTGTACCCACCCATTATATATATTGAAGTACTAAAAAAAGAGAAAAAGAAATCATCACCACAACTGAGTGAATATGTCACATTATTACCACACCACCATCCTCCTCCTCCTCCTCGCCACCGCCGCCACGGCCGCCGGTGCAAGTAGTAGCAACAGCAAGTACCACTACTACGTCCACCGCTCGAGCGGCGTCGGAGAAGGATTGTTCGACGGGATGGTGGCGGATTCCGGGTCGCCTGCCCCTTCGCCGGCCCCTTTCGGCTCTCCGCCGCCGGACCCGTCCGTCTCCCCGCCGCCGGAGGATAATAACTCGAATTGGAGTCCGGACAAGTACCAGAGGATCGTGTACAGAGGGCTGCAGACGGCGCCGGCGTGCAATGCGCTCCGGTACGGCAGCTGCCTCGGCCAGGCTCTCAATGTCCAGAAGAAATGCGACTACTTGAACCGCTCTTGCATTCGCTGATTCATATATGGTCACCATTTTCTTTACCCAAAAAAGAAAAATATAATAGTATGTTTTTTTTAATTGGATTAATATCTCTTTTAATCCTCCCCAAATTGTAGCTTTTATTTTGTCACATTTTGTCATCTTATTTTTAAAATTTAAGCATAATATAACGTGTAGCATTATATTCATCTTCTTTGATTTATCTCCCTTTTTTATTTTAAGATTGAGAAAAGTGCATCGCTTTTCCTGAACTATATGGAAATTGCATGGTTTATTGCCGAATATTAAAAAATGTACCGTTTACCGCCATACTCTTGAAAAATTACACGATTTACCCCTGAACGTTAAAAAGTGCATTAAATAACCCTAATTTTTTTTGAATGCTATTGACTCTATTACAATGTAGTATCTGTTCATACTATTCTCAAGCTAATGACGCACAAAGAGCCAATGCTGCTGCCTTCGCTGGGGCTCGAACCTGGGTGAACTTCCCCATGAATTCTGGGGAGTGAGCTTGCTACCACTCAAGCCAGGGGAGAAGTTCCATTAAATAACCCTAATAATTTAAAACGTTACACCGTTGGTCCTAAAATGTTAGGTAGGGAATGCATTGCTCCCGCATACGAGAATCGCGTGTATGATTGATCTGGCGCATTTGAATTTCTATTTCAAGTGTAAGAACATCATACGCATTTTACAAACGTACTGCGGATTTTGTTTGAGAAAAATACATATTTATCCCATGCCAATTAGTGGTACTTCACGTCAAATAAATAGATAAACTTTATCATCAATTAAATAAATATTTCATTGTATATTAATTAAATATGGAGTAATCTTTAGAGACTATTTCACAACATAAATCTTATTAAACAATTCGTCTCCAAATATTCCAAGTATCGCACACGTGTTCAATACAAATGTAGTGTAACATGGTTATGGAAAACGAAAAAGAGTTAATTTCACAAGGAAATACTTTCGTGTAAAAGAAAATGCAAATACTGTGTACTAAAATAGGAGTAGCACTCTTTTTGTGATATAAATAGAAGTACCGTCTGTCGCCAGAGTTCCATCGCTGGTTGCCGACATTGATCGGTGATCCACCACCACACTACCACCATCACATTGCCACCATTTATAATGTTAGTCTGTTATATTAGCATTACACTGCCACCTTTCAATATGTCAAACTCAAATTCAGGGGAAAAAATAATATCACACCTATTTTGGTATTTTGATGGTATTTTACTCCTATTAAAGGATATTTTTATTCCACAAAGAGAGGTACTCAATATTTAATAATTATCCCATAATCAGTCATTCGATTCAAATATTTTTTCTAGATATAATATCAAAAGATTGACTATGAAATAGTTTTCAAATTTCAAGAATTACGAATAAAATTTCTTAGAATTAAAAGCTCTATGCCAAAGAAACACAATGTTTTAATGACAGTTTATGAAATTTACTCAACAAAAAGACAGGTGGGAAAATCCCATATTTGACGACGCCTTTTTGACGTTATACTGCCTCACGAGGCACATACACAAACAATGATGGTATCTGTGTGTAAATTGTACTCCATCCGTCCCATAAAATATTTCTTGTTTCAAAAAAGGCGCGACCTTAAAATGAGTAATTTTGGTGTTATTTTCTAATTTTGCCCTTACTTTATAAAAGAGTAGGATGATATATGTAGAATAGATTAGTCATAATTAAAAAATAACACTAAAATTACTCTTTTTAAAGGCGTGCCATTTTTGAAACAGAAAATGTTTTATGAGAGGGAGGGAGTGTGTGATCAAGTTACTATATATGACATCAAAATTGGTGTCAAATGTAGAGTATAGTCTAGCATGGTTTTAAGAAAAATAAATGTGGTGTTCGTATGTATATGAACCTAGGAGCTAGTAGCTAGAGGTAGATGAGGCAGCATTGAATGCCTGAATGTCTTTTTTTCGTTTATCATCCTATCAAACAACGATAAAATAAGAAGATAATATTGGATTATACTCCTCTTCGTCCTAGAGTATTTGTCCACTTTCATTTTTACACACCATTCAATGCACTTTTTAAATCCATTTTATCTTGTAATTTGTATATTAAAAAATTATAGAAATTATATATTAATAATCTATATGTTAAGACAAATCAAACAAGATCACACATGACTATGTTTAGGCTTATACATTGAGAGAATTTGATGAGTCAAAGTGCTTAGATGAACAGTTCCAAAAGTCAAAAGTGGACAAATATAGCGGGACGGAGGTAGTATTTATCTTGAATACCAACTTTTAAAACATTAGAAAAGTTTTTTGAAACAAAAGAATATATCGTATAATATTTCATGATGCTAAAGTTGTCATAGTTCGACGGCAAGGTGTGTCATGTTTGTTTGATGTTATTTTTTTTAAAACAAAATGCACAGTTTATTAACACCATCCTCCAAACACAAGCACCTCCCAATCATACATATTAGACATCAATCAGTACCCAAGGATCATCAAAATATACATCTTACATCAACACTATAGATCTCAGTTTATAGTTTATGAACATTTTCATTTGTTTCTTAATCCATTTGTAGCATTCATTGGTAGGAGTTTGTTCTTGATGCTTTATCAATCTATTCCTCACTCTCCACACAGCACAACATATACCTGCAAAAGCTGCAATTGCAATCTGCATGGTCCTTCCCTTAATCTTCATCATCTCCTCCACCATTGCTCCATTAATAGTTGCACTCCAGTGATGTTTGATCCAGCTTCCTATAATCTCTTTTGTATATCTACAATCATAAAAAAGATGTTGCTTGTCTTTAGTATGATGCAGGCATAGAGCACGAGATAGGACAATAGGCATAAATCTATTGAGTCTGGATTTTGTGTGAATTCTGTTTCTCCATCCCAACCAAAGGAAAAATTGGTGTTTAGGGGTGGTTAGTCTGTTCCAGATCATTTGATACCCTTGCAACATGTTACCCTCTTCCATTAGCCAATTCATAGCCTCTATGAATCTGGTACTCCTCACTAGTGTCCATTCCATAGAAACAAAGTCCTACTTGGGAAGAAATATTCCAAATAGTGTCCTTCTTTAGATACTTATTATGGATCCATTTGACCCATAATATGTCCTTATTAGCAATGTCCCAAATCAACTTATAGTTACAAGCATAGTTCCACTTGCTCAAATTCTTGAACCCCAAACCTCCAGCCTTCTTTGATTTGCAAACATCTTCCCAACTCAAAATACACAGTTGAAACTTATGCACAGAAGAAAAAATGATGTGAGTTCTATAATCATTTTGATACCTTATTTTAAGGCATACCGAGTACTAAAAATTGTCAAACCTTTTTCCAAATGAAATATATTAGACACTCTCTTTGTTCCAATAAATTACTTATTCATTTGAGAAAATAATACTCCCTCCGTCCCACAAAAAAGTTTCCATTTTGAATAGTATTTAGTCAAATATTTACACGCTTTGACTATAAATTGTGAGAAAGGTATATTGAATTATGGAATAAATTTTATATAATTGGATTCATCTTAGGATCTAGTTTTGATATCTCAAATTTTTTTAGCATTTCTTTATTTAGATTATATTTAATTTAGGGTCAAAGTGTGCAACAGCTTGACCAATTTATGGTCAAAATGAGAACTTTTTTGTGGAACGCAAGTAGTAATACATAGAGTACTATAATCATATGATCTCTTATTTTATGTTATAATTTAGATAAAATTCTAAAATAGATACTACCTCTTTTCAATCAACTATTTTCTACATTTGACTTATAATTAAATAAAATATATATTGAATATTAATTAAATAAAATAATTTTTTGAAAATTTTAAATTATGAAATTTCAAATGTTGGATTTGAAATCTAAGATATCAAAAAACTCTTGTTTCCAAACATTACCTTAAACAATTAATACTTTTCAAAAAAAAATGCAGAGAAGAAAAAATGCCAATGCATGGAATTAGATTGCTGTTATCAAAGACAAAAAATGCAAAAACATTCTGCGTGAGAGTTTTCCACATTTCAGATTTTTTTGGATGAATTACAGAGTACGGCTAGAATAAGATACTCCATTTACTAGTACATTGGCAGGGCATTCATCCCAAGTTTTAAGGAAAACTTTGAACTACATTTCAAACAAAAACTAAAGAAACCAAACCAAAAAATTTTTTAACGAATCATTGCCCCTTGCGTAGCTTGGGAACCATCGTCGACTATCTTGTTTGCTTGAATGGTGCTGAGAAGATTGGCAATATTTCCCTGCAAAAGAAAACATCATCACAAGTTAAACTTTGGCCACTTTTTTTAAATGTATTTTCACTACCCCATTTGATAAGTCTTGTGACATCGTGCTTTGTAGACTTTTCAAAAAAATATATTTTATTTTTTAATTCTATACTCCGTATCAGTTATTAAATAAATTGAATTGAATATACTATGAGGCAAGCATCATAACCCACAATAGGAAGATCTTTCTAAGGCGAAGGGAGCATACAAAATGGCACCATCTTGTTGTATCTATTTAGGTAAAACATAGATAATATGGAACTAAGAATAAACAACAATGAAATATTATAGAACTAGGGATCTGTTTCCAATATACGTAGTATTTTACAATGAATTGTGTTGTGATTTTTTTTGTGTGGCAAAGAAGTCTCCATGAAAACAAATTCTTCAGTTTGGTGCTGTAAAATATTTCCTTTGATACTTTAAACTTGAGTTTTCCTAGTAGAACTGTTTTACGCTTTCTATTCTTTTTGGGCAGGACATGTGTTATATATTGAACAAATTAGCAAATATTTTCACAAATACCATCTTCGCACTTTATTGAAAACAATTATATATGTGTATCAGAATGAAAACTATTTTTTAATTGAAACTTCCTGGAACACATTTTGCGCACTTTATTTCTCCAAAACAAGCGGAGAATAAGAAAAAGATGATTATTTACCTTCCATGTCTCAAGCTTTGTTTGGAGAGCTTTCCATTGTTTTGGGCCAAAGACACGCTCAACCGCATAGCTGCAAAATACAAATTAATTACGCATAACATCCAAAAGAATGAGTCTAAAACAACACTCATGATCCTTATGTAGGAAAAAAAGTGGAGACACTAAAAGTATACCTCACAATTACAACTTGATTCATTTGATCAATTTTACAATTGAATAACTTTGCAGTGATTGCCTTGACGACCCATGACTCGACCTCATTAACATCAATCTGAAGCCATTAAACGCACCAACTTGATCAACAAGTACTAAAACAAAATAACATATGAAAGTGTGTATCTAGCCACATGCCACAGAAGGAAGATAATGCTAAACCATGACATAAAGATTTTACCTGAAGAACATCCTTGATCACAGAATAAGGAATTCGGTCAGATTCTTTGGAGCCCAGGTCCACCAATGACAATAACCTCATCTTTGTAATGCAATCTTCATGGACTAGTCCTATACATTTTTTCAAAGGTATATGTCAAGAAAAATAATCATGTGCCCAGCACATACGAATTGATGAATCTATAAGTCTAGAGCTCGTGTATTAATAGAGCAAAGAGCTACCATATGTTTTCAGTAAAGTAGAATTTGATGCTTCAAAAGCCATGTATGCATCTAGCCTTTGAGTCAGAAAGATCTTAAGAAGTTGATACACTGGTGCATAAATGGCATCTTTCTCCAATTGTGCCACAGCAGGCATATCAAGCAAATCACACTGACATACAGATATAAAACAACCCAGACTCAGCCAAACAATGCAAAAAAGAATATTACCTATCAAACAATTGCATATCCACCAGAGGAAGGAACAAAGAGTGGGGAAGGTTTTAGTTCCCCCATAATGAAAAACCAAATTGGGGGGACGAGGAGAATACGGGGAGGGAGAGTTTTGGCTCAGCCAAAATGGGATGGAGGGATAATTTCCCTTCCCCTCTCATATCATCAAACCAAAGAAATTCTCAAGGTTTAGTTAGACACACTGATACCTGAAACATATCAGGCAATTTGACAAATTCAATAATAGTGTTGACAGCAGCACTCTTGGCTTCATTCATAGTCTGTGTGTCATCACCAGAAAAGGTTGCCAGATACCTTGTAAGAAACTTGAAAGACTCTTTGGTGTGCCTATTAAATACAATGGAGGTATTACACTAGAGATTAGATTAACTTCTAGTATCTAACGGCAATAAGTGAAAATTCATGTCTGCAGCTCATCCATCTCACCCTTTGTGTTCTTTCAATATATTAGAAATGGCGAGAAAAAGCTCCCTCTGATCCTTCACCCCAATATTCCATTCCTTCAAAAAGTTGTCCATCTTTTTAAATGATGGCAGAACATGTTCAGTGACCTTTGCATTGGTTGCCAAATTTAGTGCCTTCATGTATACAATGAAGCGGCTATATGGGTTGTCGAGAAGATTGTAGAGGTTGAACAAGCTAAAAGCATTGAAACGACAAGCACAATAAGATAGATAAAGTAACAACGTATTGTTGCCATAGGCAAAATGATCAACATTAGAAAGCTCTACATTTTTAAGCGCAACGAAGGTTTTTCATTTGGTTGCTGCACGATTTTTGATGATATAAGCTCAGCTATCTCATGCACTTGATCCAGACTCTCAGGCTTCTTCACGATGTTGGAAATTATAGTGAAAATGCACTCGAGATCTGAAAAACCCAGTTAATGAATTGCATTACAATAAAAAGAACATGTTACTCAATAGAGGTGGTTGATTAAAAATGATAAGAAGTACTGCATAATAAATAAATTAAAAAATAATAAAATAAGTAAATAATCATCTGGATGCAGAAAGTTTTGGACAAAACCCCCCATCTAGAATCTACTTTATATCCTAAAAACTTCATACATTTACATAATAAATTAGCCCATACGAAGAACTTCAATGGAAGCATGATTTCTTTTGGGATGATTTAACAAGCATCAAAACATATTAATTATGAGGACAAAATAACTTATACCGAGTAGTTGCTATTAACAGAGCAATAAAAAACCATTTTTTCCAATTCACATTAAGAACAAAACTTAAACACTATGCATTACAATTACAGAACCTTCAAATTAGCTGAAGTTCAAATGGTCTATATTGCAAAAACTTCAAATAACTGCAGCCCTCCATCCCCAAACAAGGCAAACATCACCATTTGGGTACTTGGGGACGTGCCCACACTCAAATCCTTTATAAAAGTTGGTGTTTCCTTGTTCTAGTCCAAGACCGGCAGACCCTATACGAGTACTGATCCGATCTCTGTGCAACTTGGTCAAAGGTCCACAGATAAGTTTCAGTAAAAGTTTATGCATTACTAACTAATGCCATACCTTTCTCCGAAGCTTTAGCAAATACCAAGTCTGCAGATGTAAGCATCAGAGAAACCAAATCCAGCCACCTGCCACCTATCATGCATTCCTGTGCTTCTATACACAGTCGACTAACCTGAGGCTCCGCCACCTACCAAGAACACCTCCATTTAGCTCAAATCCATACAATAAGCTAAGTTATCATTGACTCATCATCACTGAGATGAAAATCTTTCGCAATTACAAAACTTTAACACTTTAAACAACCAGACGGACATACATGCACTCAGAGTCGATTGAATTGCACATTTAAAAATCAAATCAGAAGAAAAGTAGAGGGAAGAAATGAAAGCGCTAGTACCTCTGGGCCGGCGTCCGCCCATGACATCTCGGCGGTGAAACGGACAACGGCAAGCGCTGGATCTTCCTCGGAGGTTGGAACAACGGTCGTCATGGCTGCGGCGTCTGAACCCTGTCGACTTCCGTCGTCGCCGCCGCCGTCGATTTGGTGAACGTTACTTGAGACAGGAAACCCCAAAGCTAATTGGTGGCAGATGCCTGCTGAGTGAAGAAGCGGCTGTAGAGCTGAAAAGGGTTTCTGCACTGCACGGTTAATGATATGGGCTGGGCCAGATAGGATCATTGGGCCTTAAAATTTGAACAATCTGGTTTATAACATTCGTAGATTTTTTATATACGAAAGAGTATATTTTTTACATTCTGTTTGGTTTGTGAAAATCAAAAGGATTTAAAAGAAAGAGAATTTTTCCAATTTTCCTCAGTAAATTTGTTTTCTCTTTTCTTAGCTTGTTTTTATTTCTTTTCCTTTCACTTTTCTTTTCTTATACTCCTTTTTTTCATTTGATATTCTTTAAACCAAACATAGTGTTTGAGATGTTGAATGAATTGCAAAATTACTTTGAGGGATTTATCAAATCTCATCCGGTTTTAAAATTGTGGAAACTTATTACTCCGTATTTAATTTATATTGCATGTAGTTGCAATATACTTTGAGTATAAAAATTAAAGTTTTGACTTCATTGTTTTAAATAGTGTTATTTAAAACTTGTTAAAGTTTCATGGTTTTTTTAAAAATAATCTGCAATATTAAAAAACTATCTAAAATGTTAATGTTACCCATAAATTTTATCCCTTACAACAGTTTTTGTTACGTTGTGATCTCTATGTTTACATTTCATCTAATATTTTAGCTTATACATTTGTGAAGGGTGGGGATCAGGATCTCACTATGATTCAAGTAAATTTCAGGAATGATGTCTGAACTTTCAAGAGAATTTCATTTTGGTACCTAAATTTCAATTTCTTTCACTAATGGTCTGTTTGGAAAGGGGGAAATGACTTCTGGAAAATGAATCATTTTTCTGAAGTCGTTTTCCTTTTCTTATGTTTGGTTAAAAGTTGAAAATAATCTACTTTTGTTTGTATTAATTCTGGAAAAGGAGTATATGGAAATCAGTTTATCTTTCTATCATTTAATCAAACACTTTACATACAAGATGACAATGAAGTAATTTGCCTTGGAAAAGAAAAAGGAAGAATGATGGAATAAGAGAAGTAAGGCGATGGAGAAGGGCATGGTCGTTATGCAATTTAAATCGTCCTAGATCCACGATCATAAGAAAATTGAAATCAACCTTGCATTGTCGTTCTGCAATTTAAACATTATTATATCTAAATTGAAATGTTTCGAATCTAGAATTGCTCTCATCCAATGCAATCATATCGTTCAGCCTTGTCAAGGTTTGATTTGAGTTAGGGTTTGAAGAAAATGGAAAATAAAGAGGCGATGAGAAGTAGCAAGTAGAAGATGGTTGATGATAAGAGAGGAGAGGTATGGATGAGACAAAGGAAGGAGAAGCGGGAAGATGAGAAGCAGCAGAAAATGACTTCCGCTATAAAAATCAAAAAGTCAAATTTTGAAATATTGGCCTCATTTTCTCTTTGACCAATGATTGTTTTCTATTAATCCTTATTTTCCAACATTGCCAAACAACAAAAAAAGGAGAAGTGACTTAAACATACCCAAAAATACATGAACTTATAAAACTTTTCACTAAAAAGATTTTATCGGGTTCCCAGTAATCTTCGGATCATTAAGCCTATGCGGAGACGGATTTGGATCCACGTGTGCATTTCTTGTTTGTTTTTCTTATTTTTTGTTTGTATTCTTCATTCTTTTTTGAATTCTCTAATTTTTTCTTCTTTCTTTTCTTTCTTCATCTTAATATTCTTCTACTTTCTTCATCTCCATCTTCATTTTCTTCATTTTTGGAATGTACTCAATGATCAGCCTTTACTAGAAGATGAAGAACCAGCTAGAGATGGAGAGAGCCTTACCTACTACATACCTTCCAAGTACTAACTATATGAACATTGATAGTTCATGTTATTAAAATTTGAAATATCATTTGCAAGAGGACTCTAATTCTTCACCTTCTTCGATCCCATGCTTACACATGGTGTCTCGAGTCCTGATTGGAGAGAGTAAGGGTCTGTTTGGGAATAACGTTAGACATTAGCGTTAGCGTTTTGAAAAGGTTATCAACGGGCAGCATTTAGCATTAACCTTTTAATTTCAACATATTTTACACCGTTAAAATTTAATCCAAAATGCTAATGTTAATATCTAACGCTATTTCAAATAGACTCTGAGCTTAGAAGGTAGGGGTGGATTTAAATCAACATAATGACCTGAAGATCACTACGGAACCAGTTAAAATCATTTTAGTGAAAGGTTTAATCAAGTTCGAGTATTTTAGTGAAAGGAATTGAAGCTCAGGTATCAATTCGAAATTTTTAAAAAATTTAAGTATCCATTCTTCCTGTAATTTACCGACGTGGTTTTTGGTATGTGTTTCATTAGAATTGTATTGTTTGCTTTGAACTACAATGATCCATTACTTTTCTTTTCCAGACATTCCTTTGAAGGTATGGCTCTCTAAACCAAATTTAGTGCTATCAGTATTTTCGAGATTGAAAAAATCATTTTTAAAAAATCATAAACCATATTAAATTAAAAATAACTTTAATCAAATATAATAAACCGAATAAAAATACTACATACTCCCTTCGTCTCACAAAATTTTCTCCTTTCTTTTTTCATTCGTCTAAAAAAAGCTTTCCCATTTTGATTAAAAAGTTACTTTTACTCATATTAATTTTTAGCTTATTTATCGCATCACATATATATTCACTATTAATCTACCCAACACATCCAATGACATAAGAATAATTTGAGTAATAGGATGAGTAAGCTTTACACAATACACACACATGTATCTATATATAAAATAAACTAGCTTGATCATCAATGGATCATTGAGATCTGCACCAAAGTTTTGTGGAGTGCTTGTGGCTTAGAGAAGAAAGGGGAGTGGTCTGAGCCCTTGAGATGGAACACTTTTTCTACTCGGCTCTCATCATCAACAATCATTCTTCGTTGCAAAGTGACTGGAATAGCATTATCTTCAGCGGTTTCAATATAGAATCGTCTGATTGAGCCGTAGTTTAGTTCTGACAACACCAACTTCTCCAGCACAGGCGCAAAGGGCATCGGCCTCATCAGCGCACATGCTAAAGCTACATCCTGCATATCATCACACGATATTTAAATTAAATTTGTCGATCGTAATAAGCTCGTTTCATTCGCTTCATTTTTTCATATACATTGTCATGAGGTAATAAAAAAGAAATGTACCTTTGCAGGACTGTGGTTGAATAGTAAGTCCCTGAGGAGAGATTTGTTGAGGTCAATGGACGTTGGGGGATTTTCATTTCCATTAGCATAAATAAATAGCTGAGCCTGGTGCATCAATTCTTTTGTATCTGTCTGCAACAATGTTTATAGAGTACAATACAAATAATTTATTTAGCTGATTAGTACAAATTATACATAAAAAAAAGCATATACTCCGTATCTCATAAATGATTTCTAATTACAATTACTTGTGGTTTCTCATTTTTAGTGCTTAACTCTAAGATACTCCCTCCGTCCTATAACGATCTTCCCGATTCTCAAAACGAAGAAAAATCTCAAGTTTTTTCAATCTATTTTATTTAAATATTAGTATAGAAATAAAAAATAAAACATACAAATTTAAAAACTACACCAAAAGTTCAACAAAACAAGTAGTGACAAGAATATTTTATTTTATCATATAGACCATGAAAAAACACAAATAAATATAAATTCCCGTGAAGTTGGAATAATGCTCTGGGAAGATCATTATAGGACGGAGGGAGTATTACATAAATGTTTCTCAAATTTTTGAATATCATTCATTATTAATGATCCTTCAAAGACTACTTATGAAATTTTGTGTCATATATGGCATACAAAATTATTTATGGACTGATCTTCAAAAATTGATGCATATTTATGAACTCCATATATAATATCTTAAAATTAAGTACGAACTATGATAATGATTTGTAATTAGAGATCATTTATGAAATACTTCCTCCGTCCCTGAAAATCTTTCTCCTTTCTTTTTTCATCCGTTCCAAAAAATACTTCTTATTTCTATTAAAAAGTCATTTTTACCTCTTACTTTTTCATACCATACCTATCACATCATACCTTTTTACTAATAATCTACTCATCAAATCATACTTTTACCCATCACATCAAAAGACAATTTGGAAATTCAATACGACAATATACCCCCCTTAAATCTCTTCAAAATCAAACATCTCATGTTTAAAGGAACGGAATGAAGTATATAACAATAAAGTGCATATACTATAGAACAGAACACACACAATGTGAGAGAAGATATCAAGGGTACTCTGGCCGTTGCTCAACATAGTTGCTGCCATGAAAACAGCTTTTGACACCTTAGCTGGGAAACGCTCCATTGCATATGATATGCAAGCTCCACCAAAATCATGTCCCACTAGTATCACCTGTGTTTTTTTCAAACCCATCATCCCGAAAAACCAATTCGACCAAAAGTTTAAATTTGTTGTCGGAAAACATAGTATCTAATATATAGCTAGTGATATAGAATTAATGAATTAAGTACCTTTTCTCCATCGACAAGAGTTTGGAGAAAATCAGTGAGTGGCTTGACGTAGTGTGAGAGGCTGGTTATGTTGTTTGTGTCGAAAGAATCGACGCCGGAACCGGTTAAATCTACCGCCGTGGCCTTATAACCGCTTCTTTCAAGAAGTGCTATGGTTTTATACCAACACCATGCCCCAAAACCGCCGCCGTGAACCAGGACGAAATGGGAGGTCTCCACGTCGTCCAGCTTTATGTCCCCGGAAAGAAATTAAAATCGGAATAATTAGTAGTTACACGGTTTTATTTATATATGTATTGAATCATTCCAAATTGGCCAAATGGACTAAGCTATTTGTACCACAAGATTTCTATCTCATCAATTTGTACAATGCTCGTTTGCCCCTCATTTTGTGTTAGTGTAAAGTCTAACAGTTCACACAGATACAAAATGTTAGTGCAGTTTTTTTGTTAACGCACCATCATTTTGTGTCAATGTGAACCATCAAAAAATGTTAGTGTATACATTTGGTGTAACTTTGGGGTACACTCTTTGGTGTAAGTGTAGCATGGTTGTTGGCCAAATATAAAGACTTTATATAGTTTTTGTTTGGAAAGATTGTTTTCAGTTAGAACTATTACTATTTTTAAATAACCACTCATCAAAATAGATAAACACTCCAAACATGTACATAATTGAAACCCTAGACAATTATTTTTCACGTTTGCCTTCTGTAATTGAATTTCAAGTCCGGACATCGGTCGATCGATCAAACTCTTCATCAATTTAATCTATAATCTCTTCATCATCTATTAATAAGCGCGTGAGTAACGCACCCCTAAACCTGACACCAAAGAACTATTGATACAACATTTTTAAATCTTCACAAATTGTTGGTACAATTTTTAAATCTCAAGAGAATATGCAAAATTTTTTAGAGTCACGAGTAAAAAATTAAATTTCCAAACATTCTATACACTTCTTATAGGGTATAGTAGTACATTAACGTCCTTCAAATTAAGGATCCCAACACTTAGATCGCAATGCTTTAATACAATGCATTAAAAAAAACATAGATGATCCAAACAAAAAAAATCAAACATGTTTTTTAATCCCTGTTGCTTTAAATTTGAAGATATTTATAAGTGAATTTATATTCAATCAAACAGAATAGCTAGAATGCATGCAAAATGAATTGAAGAGCAAAATATAAATGGATTGAAAACCTTATTAAGCGGCGGGCAAGGGTGGAGGAGAGGATCAGTTAGAGAGCGATCTCTCGAGCTCGAGCTCCGCGAAGACGGCGTCTTCTTGCCCGCCTTCGCGGTCGCCGGATAACGGAGCGACGAGGTATGTCGCTCCAACGCCGCCGCCCCGTCGCCGCCGCACCCGTTGTTGTTCTGCATCTGCTGCCGGAACAGTATGGCGGCGGCCAGCGGCGTCGGGTCGTGAATGACGACCGTCTCCTCATTCTTCGACGACCGTATCTTCCGCCACTGGTTGCTCCCCCCTCTTCCGAACAAGCCGCCGCCTCCGGTGGCATCGGACGAAGATTTGTGGCGAGCGATGAGCTTCGACGACGGCTTCGAGGAAGCCGTCGCCGTATTAGAATGACAAAGCCCCATTCCTATACAGTAGCTAACTAACTAAGCTAGCTACGTGTATATATATACTCCACATCACAATTTTTTTGCCGGCCTTTATAATATAGTAGCGGCATTAATTATCACCCCAATTTCTGCATGCTAATTAGCCTTAAAGGTAATGTAATGTCGGACGCACCGAGTAATTAGTAATATAATTACCCCTAATTATTGTCAAAGTGTTAAGGAACTATAAAGTAAAGTTCATATTTATTGTTGGATCCATAGTTTTTTTCATAACTACATGAGAATTGAAGTCAAGAGAGTAATGACATCTTTGAACTTTAGTATTAGTACATTTAAATTTTATTGAAAAATGATAGTTAATTAATTATACACCCTCCTAGCTTCTATATAAAAGAATTTTTTGTTTGATTTTTTACGGACTTCAATGCAATATTTCGATAATTAATATCTTGATTTTTACATAGATGTATATTATAAAATTATAATATTTCAAAATTAATCTATTAATATTAAGTTTATATGAAATTTTAATTTTTTTAATGATTTGTAGACAAAGTTTTAAAATTTGACTCAAAGAATTAAGTTTTAAAATTTTAATATTTTTTTCATGATTTATTTTATGAACGGAGGGTGGGAGTAACATTTAAGAAGTCAAAAGGTAATTAGTACTCGTATAAGAAAGGGTCAAAAGTTCAATAGCATTTGAAATTAAGTTGGTAGACTTTTATGAGTGTTTTAAGATCAGATTCAAAGACCTTTATGAAACAATACAAATTCAACATTACTTTTTTTGTGTGTGGAGTATTTTCGGGATAAAGCGTATCAAGCATTTTATGTTTAACAAGAATTGGACAATTTTATATGCTTATGTACAATATTCTATAGGTATTTAATGGAAGTGTTTGATTTGTTATTTTACTAATATAATTTTTTATTTCTTTTTTTATATAGATGTATTTTCAATTTTAAAAAATAAAGAGATTTGTTACATTTTAAAGTGTAAACTGAATATGTATATATTCATTTTTTACCAAAGTTGATGCCAAATTATCCAAAATCATACCAAACTAATACTGTGGAATTAGGGTCGATGCGACGTAAAATTCCATACCGAACAAAAACATTGAGTACGAAAATGCCACTCTAAAATGTTCATCCCTAATTATGCACCAAAGCCCACGTTCGAAATACCAATGTATTGGGCCTTACTTCACATTTGACCGAAGGCCACATTCGAATCCTCTCTGGAGTCTCTGCAATTACAAGTACGGAGTCGTTGAAACTCTGAAAGGCGTATCGTCTTCTCGCCAGTCCTGTTTAATTATTTAATTAATTAATTGCGCACCAGATTCCCGTCGACTCTCCGCCTCCTCCGTCATTTCTATTCTACAGAAAGTTCCTCCTCCGGTTCTTGATTAAGCCCAGGCCCAATCCCATGACCCATCCCTTAACTTAGCCCACTCCAATGTGTATGCTGTAGACCAAAAAACGAAACGGAAGAAAAGAGTGCAAGTGCCGATCGAAGAAACCAGAAGGCAGAGAGACTCGCTGCCTCCACCGCCGGACGCCGAGTCGCCGACCCGCACGCCTCCAGTCCCTCCACCCTCCAGGTAATTGTTCATAGCATTTCCTTTCCAATTTTTGTAATTTTATAATTCTTAAATCTTAATTTTCTTTCATTGTTTCATTTTTTAGATTTAAAATCTAGGGTTAATTATTAGTTTTTAATTTGAAATCTTTTCTAATTTCATTCTTTGAAATAGAATGAATGAATGGTTCTATATGTTATTTATTTGATTTGGATGAATTGGTTTGAATATGTTATTTATGATAATTATATATTTATATTTAAAAAAACTGAAAACCAAAAAAAAATTAAAAACTGATAAATTGATATGAATTTATGATTTATAAAAAAATTTAAACTTAAAAAGAAAAAAACAATTAAAAAAAGAAAAATTGACGAATTGATATTGATTTATGATATATTTATTTATTTATGATATATTTTGTCATTTATTTTTTTTCTTCTAATAAATTGCGTTAATTATAATTTAAATATAATTAGTTTACATATGTGAATTTCTTAGACCATTAAAGATAAGTCTTTTAGGGCCTTTTTTGTGTTTCTGCCCAGGCTCATGATTTCTCACGACCGGCCCTGCTCTACATATCTTATTCTTTCCTCCCGAATCAGCATTCGATTTGCTATGTTTTCCCTTTTCATTTTTTCTATCAATTTAAATTTAGAAATTATTATATTTAATCAATATTGTATATTACACTGAGAAAATTGTGTGTTTTTTGGACAGAACCTTTTTATTGCCTAGGAAAAATGAAATTATAGTGTAAGGGATACCAACATAATGATTGAATGTGGTTCAAAAAGACTCATTATAAGGATATTATCATCAAACCATATCATTTATTGCAGAGACGCAGGCGCGAAAAACTGAACATTTTAGTTCAATTTATCTAGAGTTCACAAGCTGTTTTTACCACCCCAGTCTTTGGATGGGGATAAATTTTAAAAAAGCTTGATTTTTGTATCTTGAAACTACAGAATAGGTGTCGTTATTGCTACAATAACTTTTTTTTGCAATGCTCTGCTCAAATTCCACTCTCAAATGTCTCGCTGCAAATTTAATTGGAACAAACAACAACGACGACCTGGTGGAGTCCCAAAAGTGAGGTCTGCGGAGGGTGGATGTATGCAAACCTTACCCCCATGACCCCATCTAAGAAAGTAGAGAGGTTGTTTCCGAAAGTCCCTTGACTCAAGAAAACATACAAACACATTATGAAACATTGGGAGATACTTTAGAGAAAAAAAACTTGAGACTCTTAGGGAAAGGAAAAACAAATGCTAAAAAATTTGTTTTCTTATGCTTTGCTTTACATAAAAAAATTCAAATGGAAGTTTATCAAGTGTTTTAACAAATATTTAGATTTATTACATAGTGGAAAAAATCTTCAAATGGAGTACATTTTTTGAAACTATTCTTTATTTTCCCTTAATTTTTCTTTGCTTCCTATCCCTCCCTCCCAATTTTTCTCCATATCTTTTATTCTCTTGTATTCTCTTGTTTCCAAATGGACTTACTGGTCTCTCTTATTTCTATTATTATACGTGTTTTTTCTTGAAGCAGAGAAGGAAATGAGTGTAGAAATTCAAGAGAATCAGCAGGAAAAGTGAATAAAGAGAACCAGAGAAATGAGCAAGAATAAGAAAAGAGGTCACAAAAGTAAAGCACAAGACATTGCTGCTGAACAAAGCACAAATGAGAATGGTACTACTTGTTTGGAGGCCTGTAGCAACAAACAAAACTGTTCCGATGGTATTTCTACTAAAGAAGATACTCTGATCCAACCAGCCACAGATAGCTGCCAAAATGCTCTTCTTGAAGAAGAATCTCCTGCAAATTTGCTTACTCTTAAGCCTCAGGATATAGCTTTGAGCCCAATAGAATGTCCTTTGGAAGAAAATATGCTTGGGAAGAAGAAGAAAAAGAAAAGAAGTAAAAAGATTTGTACTAAGACCGGCACTAATCTAGAGGTTGTTCCCCATGAAGCAGAGTCATGTGCACACTGGCTACCTTCAGAGCATCAAGAGCTACATATGAACAATGAGGCAAACACTTTTAACAGAAAACAGAAGACGAAGAAAAATGATCTAAATATACCCACAAGTGGTGAAGTTGATGCCAACATTACTGCACTACGACCCGGTCGACCCCTTGTACTTGAGGTAGAATCTGCTGCAAATTTGCTTTCTCTTAACGGTCAGGAGTTAGTTTTGAACGCATTGGGTAATCGTTCCAAAGAAAATATGTCTGGGGAAAAGAAGAAAGATAAAAAAAGTCAACATATTTGTACTGAAGCCATGACGAGTCCAGAGGTTGTTCCTTCTAAAGCAGAGTCATCTGTACGATTGCCAGCTCCAGAGCTTCAAGAAGATATGAACATTGAGGTAAACACTTCTAAAGGAAAACAGGAGAAGAGGAAGAAAAGCAAACTAAATATACCCACAAGTGATGCTGTTGGTGGGGACACTACTGCACAACACTCACTTTTGCACGAGGTAGAATCTGCTGCAGTTATGTTTTCTCCAAAACCACAGGACATAGATTTGAACCCATTGGAAAAAAATTTGGAAAAAATTATGTCTGGGAAAAAGAAGAGGAAGAAGAAAAGAAGTGGAAAAGTTTCAACTGAAGCTATCCCTGACTCAAAGGTAGTTCCACCTGAAGCAGAGGACTCTTTACAATTGCCAGCTCCAGGGCTTCAAGATCTAGATGCTGTTGGTGTGAACAGTAGTGCACAACCACCACTATTGCTTGAGACAGAATCTGCTGCAGTTATGCCTTCTCCAAAACCGCAGGACATAGGTTCAAACCCAGTGGAAAACAATTTGGAAGAAAATATATCTGGGAAAAAGAAGAAGAAGAAGAAAAGATGTGGAAAAATATCAACTGAAGCTATCCCTGACGCAGTAGTTCCATATGAAGCAGAGGACTCTTTACAATTGCCAGCTCCAGGGCTTCAAGATCTAGATGCTGTTGGTGTGAACACTACTGCACAACCACCGCTATTGCTTGAGATAGAATCTGCTGCAGTTATGCTTTCTCCAAAACCGCAGGACATAGATTCGAATCCAGTGGAAAAGAATTTGGAAGGAATTATGTCCGGGAAAAAGAAGAGGAAGAAGAAAAGAAGTGGAAAATTTTCAACTGAAGCTATTCCTGACGCAGTAGTAGTTCCACCTGAAGCAGCAGACTCTTTACAATTGCCTACTCCGGGGCTTCAAGATCTAGATATGATGATTGAAGCAAACACTTCCAACAGAAAACACATGGGGAAGAAAAGCAAACTGAATTTACCCCCAAGTGATATTGATGTGGACACTGGTTTTGCACAACCACTTGCGTCTGAGGTAGAATCTGCTGCGAATTTGTTTTCTCTGAACCAAATAGGAAGTAATTTGGAAGAAAATATGTCAGGGAAAAAGAAGAGAAAGAAGAAAAAAAGTGAAAGAATTTCAACTGAAGCTAACCCCAATCTAGAGGTTGCTCCACCCAAAGTTGAGGACTCTGTACAATTTCCTGCTCCAGAGTTTCAAGATCCCAATGTGACTGAGGCGAACACTTCAAACAGAAAACACAAGGGGAAGAAAAGCAATCTAAATCTACCTGCATGTGATGTTGTTGGTGTTACTTTTCCACAGCAACCACTTGCACGTGAGGTAGAAACTGCTGCAAATTCGCTTTCTCCAAAGCTGCATGATGTAGTTTTGAATGCAATGGAAAATCATCTGGAAGGAGATATATGTGGTGAAAAGAAGAGGAAGAAGAAGAAAAAAAGTGAAATCATTGCAACACAAGACATCCCTAATCCAGAAGCTCTTTCCCCTGAAGCAGAGGGCTATGAACAATTGCCAGCTCGAGAGCTTCAAGGGATTGATGGAAAAATGGAGCCGAATAGCTCTAATAGAAAGCAGGAGAAGAGGAGGATTAATACAGTAAATAAACCCACAATTGATGCTGCTGGTGTGAACATGACTTTTATCCCACAACCACTGGCACCTGAGGTAGAATCAACTGAAAATTTGCTTTCTCTAGAGCCCCAAGATGTAATTTTGAACCCAATTAAAGAAAACACGGATGAGAAAAAGAATAAAAGAAGTGAAAATACTTCAACTGAAGTCATCCCTAATCTAGAAGTGGTTCCAAGCAAAGCAGTGACCTATGTTCAATTGCCAGTTACAGAACTTCAAGAGTTAGATGTACACATTGAGGCAAATAGCTCTAACAGAAAACAGAAGAAGAGGAAGAAAAGCAAAGTTAATGCAGCGACAGGTGATGCTGTTGATGTGGATGCCACTGCGCCACAACCACTAGCACTTGTGATAGAATCAACTGCAAATTTGCTTTCTCCAAAGCCTCGGGATGTTGTATTAGACCCAAAGAATAACACAGTAAATAATCCCACGATTGATGCTGCTGATATGAAGATGACTTCTTCCCCACAACCACTGGCAGCTGATGTAGAATCAACTGAAAAATTGCTTTCTCTAGAGCCCCAAGATGTAGTTTTGATCCCAATGGAAGCAAACATTGCTGAAAAAAAGAAGAAAATAAGTGAAAATACTTCAACTGAAGTCATCCCTAATCTAGAAGCGGTTCCCAGCAAAGCAGTGACCTATGTTCAATCGCCAGGTATAGAACTTCAAGAGTTAGATGTAAACACTGAGGCAAATAGCTCTAACAGAAAACAGAAGAAGAGGAAGAAAAGCAAAGTTAATACACCGGCATGTGTTGCTGTTGACGTGGATGTTACTGCACCACAACCACTAGCACTTGTGGTAGAATCAACTGCAAATTGGCTTTCTCCAAAGCCTCAAGATGTTGTTTTAGACCCAATGGATAACTGTATGGAAGAACTTATGGCTGGGAAAAAGAAGAAAAAAAGTGAAAATATTCCAACTGAAGCCATCTCTAATCTAGAGGTTGTACCCCACAAAACGGAGGGCTCTCTACATTTGCCAGCTCCAGAGTGTCAAGAGCTAGATGTAAATATTGAGGCAAATAGCTCTAACAAAAAACAGAAGAAGAGGAAGAAAAACAAAGTAAATAAACCCACAAGCAATGCTGTTGAAGTGGATACTACTTCTGCACCACAATCACATGCACTAGAGCATCAAGAGATGGTTACAAATGTGACCCGAGGAATGGAGGAAACGAGTTCAAGTGGGATAAAGTGTTCGAATTGGGAAGGGAAGAAGAATCTACATAAACCCACAAATGATGTTGATGGTGTCCCTTCTGCACATCAACCACTGCCACTAGAACTTCAAGAGAATGATAAAAATTTGACTAAAGATCTAGATGAGCAGAGTGGAAGTGGGCAAAATAGTGCAAGTGAGAAAAGTAAAAGGAAGAAGAAGAAAAAGAATCTCACAAGTAATGTTATTGATACAAAGTCAACTGGTGAAGTACTTGTTGTACCAGATAATCTTGAGAGAGATACACTTTCTCCCATAGATATTGAGGTAAATAATGATAATGGACGAAAGAGAAAGATAGGAGAAACTGATGTAGAGTTGGCTGCCCAAGTGATGGAGCCTGAGAATCAAGACTTGACAAATAAAACGAAGAGAAGAAATGTAAGAATGGGAGAAGTTGAAGAAGTGGACAATGTTAAGTCTGAAGAGATTGAAATGCTTTGTGCAGATACTATAAAGATGTCTTCTGAGGATGTTCCAACAAATAATGCTCTTGATGTTGAGAAATCTGCAATGAGTTGTGAAAATGGGCTACATTTAGCTTTTCCTGAAAAGAATACAGTTGCTGAAAGTTGCATTGAGGGGACTTGTCTTTCATCCAGCACAGGGGTAACCATGGATGTTAACCCTTGTTTGAGGAGAAAACTGCTCATACTTGATTTGAATGGACTACTTGCAGATATAATTATGCCGCCACCAAAGGGTTTCAAACCTGATGCAAGTTTTATGCGAAGGGCAGGTGAGTTAAATATTTGCACATTTGTTAAGGCAATTACTGACCTCATGTTTTTTTGTTAGCATAATAGCATCTGATGTTTAGTTTGCAATTATGTTTTTCTATTACTTTGCACTATTAGAGATACAGTTGGTCACCACGGTTGATACACCTAATGATTATTTATTAGCAGTCACAACTATGCTTGTATTTAATGCAGAACTCAAGAAGCATTACTGTAAAGGGTTCAATATTGCAAAAAAAATCATAGTTGATAGTTCATACAGCATATCTCTTGGCAAACAAACTGAAAAGCTTGCTGGAAGCTAAAAACTAATAGCTAGAAGCTGAAAGAAAATAGTTTTAAATTTTGTTAGAACTGTTTGATTAATTAGCAGTTGAGCATGTTCATAATGTGTAAAAGAAATCAATGACTTTTCTTTTATTAACAATTACCAATCAATAAAAGGAGTTATTTTAGTTAAAGAATAACCACTGGGAAGAACATAAAAAGCTAATAGTTTATTATGTGAAATGAGCTGTAAGGTCTTAAAGAAGTTCTACCAATCACACAATGTTTGGCTTTAAATTAGCTAATTGCCATTTTCTTTTGCAGTATTCAAGAGACCCTTCTGTGATGATTTTCTGAAGTTCTGTTTTGAGAGATTTGACTTGGCAATCTGGTCATCTAGATCAAAGTACTCAACTTCACATTTGTTGGTTGCTATGTTAATTATTTATACAAATTGTTCTCTTCCCATAATCTGTCATTCATATATGGCTCTAATGGCATAATATTACTATAATGCAGGAGAATTATTGATAGAGTGGTAGATTATTTATTGGGAGATCTGAAGCACAAGTTGTTATTTTGCTGGGTTTGCTCTCTTCTTCTCAAATGTTTAATCTGATTTGCCCCCCACCCCTCCACACACACATGCACACACATTTCACCCCATCCCACGCGTTCTTTTTTCTTTTATATATGTTTTTAGTAATAACAAAAATATGATCTGAAACACAAAAGTCTAAGATACCTTGTATATGTTTCTCTTGTCTTTTGCAAGTGCACCAAAATAACATTTGGGAGCATAAAGAAATATATTCATTAATTGGTTTTTCTTATTTTAAACTTTACAAAAAAGTCTCCTAAACTCTATTTTATGCAGGATATGTCTCATGCTACCATGACCAAATTCAAGACACTTGAAAACAAAGACAAACCGTTGGTTTGCAAGGATTTGAGAAAAATTTGGGAAACAGGTTACCCAGGTCTACCGTGGAAAAAAGGAGACTATGATGAATCAAACACATTGCTATTGGATGATTCTCCCTATAAGGCCCTGCTAAATCCTGTAAATTACTTATCCACTATTCTAGTGTAGTAAAATCCATATATACTCCGTTTCATCTGTTATAAAGAGAGTTTGAATTACATCTGTTTTTTTTCACGCACTTTACCAAAATAAGGTTTCTTGTCTAGTGGTTTGACTTGACACACCTGAGGCCTTGACTTTTAACTCCCCCTCTTCTCCTCGACTTTTAACTCTAGTAATCTAGAGTCTAGACTCCAAACTTTTGTGTTCAGTTCAGCTTTTGGTTTCTAGATTTTAGTTTAAATTAATGCTACATCAAGGTTCCAGACTCTAGCATGGAGTCTACATAATCCTCACAATTAGAATATAATTTGTTATATCCCAATGACATAACAAAGGTTCTACTATATTTTAAGTTTCATAACATACCTGTATTTGACATCTCAATTGCCAAGTACTCCGTAATTCTTTTCTGATAATTGCTTCTGCCTTCTATAATTTTTAGGCTCACACAACTATCTTTCCACATTCCTACAACTTTATGGACAAAGACAAGGATAACTCGTTAGGTGAGGTTTTATTTCCCTACATTGTGGCTTGCCATGGCCATCAGCTAAATGGTTAAAAGCAGTCTCTAGATAGCTAAGAATGCCTAAAATTTAAAAGCAAATTCTTTCCATAATCCAGGTCCTGGTGGCGATCTTCGTGTTTTCTTGGAGAAGTTGGCAGATGCGGAACATGTACAGAAGTTTGTTGAACAACACCCATTTGGGCAACCTGCAATCTGTGAGAAACACCCCAGTTGGGACTTCTACTCCAAGGTTATGAGGAGTCTTTCGCCACGTTCATTCTAACCGTGGAGGAACTATGAATGGAACGACCTCTTTTCCTTCCTAATCTTGTAAGTTAATTCTTTGGTGAAATTTTAGGCCCTAAAAAACTGCGTATTTTAGCAGGATCCTGATTGGAACAAATAGCGATTAACCCAGGTAAATTTTGTACTATTTATTGTTATGAAATATGTTTCAAGTTAACCATAAGGACTTTCTAGCTAGAGAATCATGCGGCTGATTAATTGTGAAAATCGGATTCTCGTGAGCATCGACAACTGATTCCTAGCTAGCCACAATCTGAAACATTATACATCAACTTATTTTGCTTATTTTGAGAATCAAAATCAGCAGAGCTTGTTTTAAAATCCAAACCAAATGGGAACTTGGGGTGTATTTGGTTTAGATTCTCTTAGCTGATTTTGATTCTTTGAATCATCTAAAACAGAGTTGGTGTTATTTTGGCATTAAATCTTCTATTGGTATTGATCGTATCCACATTGCTTTGAGGATGACCTCTTGATGTGTTGCTAATGTGCCATTGGATTCGTAGTTGATGGGATGGTTAGTGAGCTGTGGTAGACATGGAAAATAATTGAGAAAATGGACTTGTTTGGTTGAATGCTTCTATCATGTAGCTTAAAATAAAGTATATAAAGTCAAATGGCTTCTAAGAAAATAATGTATGTAAAATAAATTTATTTTCTGGTGTTTGGTTGAAAGTATGGAAAATGGAAAAAATTGATTTTTTTTGTGCTATATTATAATAGTAAAACGCTGTGAGTTTTCATTTACGGAGTAAGAAGTAAGAGTATGGTAGATAAAAAGCATTCGGTAAAAAAGTACTAATTTATTTTTCCTCCAAAGCATTTGGAAATTATTTTTCAGTCACTCCTATTTTTCAAAACAAACAAATTCTCGAGAATCGGAAAGTGATTTTCGGAAGTCATTCTCCCCCTTCCCAAATGAGATTTATCTCCAAGTGCCATTTTAGTATTGACGGGGCAATTATCTGAAATATATATATGTTTAAGTTTTTGATGTATACCATTTTCAGTATTTTGATATTTGTGGCTATTTTGAAAGGTTTGGTTAATGATGCTACTGACAATTACAAGAAAAAAAGGGAAACTGCCAAAACCACATTCATTGCCCATCACATGATACCTCAACTTCACAATCAATTTTTATCTCCAAAATTCCCTCATTCATTTCTTTTATACTTTTGGTCTCATATTCAATAAGTTTTATGCTTCCTCCGTCCCGCAAAACATTTCATGTTTTGACTTTTCAGATGGCAAATTGTACTAGTTTGACCAATGTGAAACGACGAGAATTAAAATGAGTAGAGCTCGAAAAATGTCAAAATGTATAGGGCGTAGAAGGTAGTTGAAACTAAATTGAAATATTTTATGAGACATGACGTGAAAGTTAAAAAAAAATTTACGGGACGGAGGAAGTACGGAGTATTAATTTTTAACACGTAATCAGAGTTTTTTTTTTGAACTTTTGACTAAATTAATTTTCATTCGAATTTTCTTAAGCATTTAATTGAATTGGTTAATTAGGCAAACAAATGGTTAGGAAACCACTATTAGGAATAGTAAAAAACATGAATCACATAGTAAAGAATAAATGCAACATGATGGCCTACAACAACTATGTATCCTCACTGGCGCCTCATTCAATTCATTCCCTTGTTGCACTATGCAATATTTCATCATTGACATGATGGATGTGAAACATGCTCCATACATCATCATCATCATCATCATCATAGATCTTCCCATGCCATGACCTAATTTCTTCTTCTTGTAATGATTCATTCACACACAAGTCTTTTTTTTCTTTCTTCCAAGATTCCTCTTTGTAAGAGTTAAAAGGGGTGTGGGATATGTAATGTTGTTCTAAAGGTACCATCAAACCATTCTACATATATTCTCCCCATTTCTTCCACCAAAAATAAAGATGACACACTTTCTTTCTAGCTCCCACAAATAAAAAAGTCCCCTCTATTGGAATTTTGTCCAAACACCAAACCAAGTTATATTATTTTGGTTCAAAATGGGTTTTTTTAAATGCAAAATAATACTGCCTCCATCCTACTTTGAAATATCACCAACCAAACTGAATGAATTTTGATCATTACTTAAATAAAAGTTGCATATACAATCATGATTAACGTTCGTTAAGTTTGACTCGAAAAAGTTAAATTTGAGAAATATTCTAAGATTATTTATATACTCTTATTATCGTTCTAGGTTTGATCCGAGAATTAGGTTCTCATCACTTTCGTTATGGGACGGCCTAAAATAATAATTATTATTCTATTTAGTGAAATAAAATGGGGGACATATCTTATTTTTCTCTGCTTTGTATAAACTCAACCACATGATTTCATCTTCACTTAAACTTCATAAAAAATAAACAGAAACTTAAACTTGCAACATCAGATATATTCTGGCTACACAAATCTCAATCACACCATTTTTTACTTTCTTTACCTACTTACTTATACTTGGTTGTTAATTAAAATTAATTTTTTGGTCATACATCTGCACCAATTAAATAATAAGTATAAATTTAATCTTTCTTTACCAATGAAAACTCAAATTGTATGCAATTAATTATGCTTACTCATTTTAAAAACATGTGTATATATAATTGTGCGAGTATAAACAGTGTTTTTTTAAATAGAACACAGGACCAAACATTCAATTTAAATGAATCATCATCTATCATAGCTAAATTCTGCAGTCTTGGTCCATCTATATCAATTATTTATGGATACACTACGAGGTAAACTTGCAACATTTATGGCATTGGTTAGTCTTATAAAGGGTTTGTGCACTTTTTTTTTTGCACGAATAAAACACGAAATATGATGTTTTTCTGCGGAATAATACTACGCATGTACGTACATTTTCTAATATGGAGCAATAATAATAATAATAATAATAATAGTAGTAATAATAATAATAATAGTAATAATAAGTGTTTGAACAATGTCCGGTGTAAAATGTAAAATTTAATTAGAATATAAGAAATTGTACTTTGTATTTTTTATGTATGTTTTGATTAATTTTTTCATGGAAATAAATTGTACTACCTCTGTAGTATTTGTCCAATTTTGATATTTTTCAGTCAACAGTTTTCAACTTTTGATCTATAATTAAATAAAATATATATTGTATACTCCGTATTAATTAAATAAAATAATATTTTGAAAAAACTTTATATAATAAATCTAATAAAAATATTTTTGTTATCGTAAACTTTTAAGAGTAAAATACCTAAACAACTCCTAAAATAAGTCACTCTTCTCCACCTTATCTTCTCATTCATCGTAACCCCTCCTAAAAAGTATTGACAATTTCAAAAAGTCAACTCTATTTTTTTCTTCCTTAAATATGCCCCAAAGTCAAAACGGGACGGAGGGAGTATAAATCTTAAATACTCCCTCCGTTTAAGAAAACACTTTCTCTTTCATTTTTTTCGCTTTCACCAAAACAATCTCTTTTTTGATTAAAATGATTAATATATCCAAATAGAGTCATCCCAACATACTCCATCCATTTTGTATTGATATAACAAGTCATTTAAGTGATTTGTCACTCTTTTTTTCGATGTGAATTATTTAATTGGAAAATTAAATTACAAAATTAAATCTTACAAAAGTTAAAATAAGAACTGTTTGGCAGAACAGAGTGAGTATGAGTTTATGGAAGAATTTTGAGGCGGGGTCAATCCCATTTGTTTCGTAACCCTAGTCTCAGGTAGGTTACCCTCACTTACTGGTTGGGTTTCGCTCGCCCATTTTAGTTTGAGTTTAGTTCTTCAATCCAGGCTCAATGACCTAAGTCCTAGGGGTGAGATGGATTTAATCAGTAATTAATTAATTTATTAACCACACATAATATGGGTTGGATATATAAACTTATCATAAATGCTAGATTTAGCCGGAACGAGATCGAGTAATACACCAAAATAGGAGTTTTATATTTTTATTCTCAAAATCGGAGTTAAAATGCATACACAATTATTATGCATTTGGACAAATTTTGAAGTCTAATTACTCTCAATTTATATTGCATATTAGCATAATGAAATACAATTTTGAAAGCTCTTAATACGATAAATCCAATAAAGTCATTTTTATGTCAAAATACATTACGGTTTTTATTTAATTGAAACTCAAAATTTGTTGAGTTTGACTCAAAAAAGTCAAACTGGACAAATACACTGGAACGGATGAAGTATCTTATAATTGAGTCGATAATATAAAAATAAAATTATACAATTGTGATCAATAATAATGTAGGGAGCAATTTACTCCGTAATCATTGAACTAATTGTCATACATACATACATACATATATATATATATATATATATATATATATATATATATATATATATATATATATATATCTATATATGTATGTATGTATGTATGTATGTATGTATGTATGTATGTATGTATGTATGTATATATGCATGTGTGATATTCTTCAAAATTATACTCCCTCCCTCTCGAGATATTCTTCCTACTTTTCTTTTTGATCCGAGAAACAGCTTTTTCATTTTCTTTTTAGCATACTTCTTTTTAAGAGTAAATATCAATAATAACTTTCTATTTTACCATCAATCTGTGTATTTTTGCTTTTTGAATTAGAAAATGAGCTCTCAAAGTTTAAAGTAGGGACATTCCTTACAAATTTGGTACTTTTTTACCCACTCTTTAATAAGCGTGTTAAATCAACACCGAAAGAACATTCATATACAGAGGGAGTATATTCAAGACTTCCGATTATTTTTGGTTGAGTGTGCATTTTCTTTGATCGTTTAATAAAAAAATCATTTACAAGCCACATTTTTCGTTAGTTTTTAGTTTAATTTATATATAGTACTTTATATTTTTATACTAATATACATATAAAATCATTGAGATAAAATTTTACATTATTTAAAATATGCCATAATTTTGAGACTGAGGAATAAAAAGCATGCAAAAATATACATATACATGCACATGGTGAGGTGCAGTAATGCCTATTATCATCATCATACCATCACGTTCCCAATAACGTGATTAGCTAAGCTACTCCATCCTAATTAATGTTTTTTAGGCCCCGTTTGGTACACGAAATTCAAATTCTGGAATTAGAATTGAGGACTTCAATTCCAATTCTCGTGTTGGTAGCACAAAAATTATGTGGATTTGTAATTGGTTGTGCAAAAAATGAATTGAAATTGGTGAATTCAATTCTATGGAATTGAGTCCCATGAAATTTTAATTTCAATTCAATTCAAATTCCATCATTTCCGTGTACCAAACGGACCCTTATTTTCCGCCTAATTACCAAACTACTAATTTCTAATTAATTCAAGGACATTAATTCTCTAAAAAGTGGATCGGAGTGCTCCCTAATTTATTTTGTACCGCATCAATTTCTTTTCATTAATTAATCCTTGTTAATTATTAATTATACTTCCTCCGTCCCGTAAAACTTTCAGCTTTTACCTCTTTTTAGTCACATAAAACATTTCAATTTGAGCAAAATGAACACAATTGCATTTACTTTTCATAAGTTTAACCGAACATATCTCAACTCTTTTTTATACACTATCTATTTTGATATTTTTCGAGCTTTACTCTTTTCAACTATCGTCGATTTTACTTGGTTAAATTTTTACAATTTTTTCTTCTAAAAGTTAAAGCAGGAAAAGTTTTACGGAACCGGATCGGAGGTAGTATTATATAATGTCTACTTTTCATTGGATGCATAATAAAATGTAAATCTACTTTTCCCTGCACAATAACACATGCACCCCATGTTACCGATAACTCCTTTTTCAGTTGTGTCAAACTCACCCTTCCAAGCTAAGACTTATTCTCTCACATTTACCTCTGAAAGATAAAGTATATTTATCGCAATGTAAAAACTTCGAGTGAGATCTGAGGTAGTTTTATTTTACGTTGAGAGCTTAGCTCTACCAAAAAAATACTTTATGCATACTTTAACTACAAATTATAAAAAAAAATATACACAATGTATTTAGTAATAATGTAAATTTAATAATATTTATTAAAATTTTATAACATTTATTTATTTATATTAAATTATATTTTTTAAAGGTCAAAATATGTATAAAAAAATTGACTGAAAAGTTATAAAAATGAAGAAGTTTTTTGAAAGAGAGGCAGGTTTTTTATTAGCTGATTAATTCAGTACTTGTAGCAAGGCCCGGCCTGAGGGTAGGTCAAGGTGCCCTATCTACATAGGCCCATTTTATTGGGGCCCAACCTATCTTATTTTTTAAATTAATATATACTATTTTTTTTAACTAAAAGAATTAAAAAATTAATTCTTAACGTAGTTATTATGATACTTAATTACCGGAGTATAATACTATAACTTCTTTATGCTCAACATAATACTATAATTTTGTTATATGTGCTCCGTATAATTTAATTTGTTATGACCAAAACCCATTTTTTCGTCTCGTCCAGGGCCATTGAATCCTTCAAACCGGCCGTGACTTATGACTCGTTTGACTCATCTTCATGAGCGATTACAAATACAATATTTGATCCAAAAGTTACAGGCGGGATGACAGACTTGGCCCGCCCGAATAGCTAGAAAAAAAACAGCTAACCTCATCGACCCGGATCCAAATTTGTAGGGGTCTAGAAACCACCCACAAGAAAGAAGAATCCAAACAAGCACTTGCAGACTTTAACGTCGTCGTCGTCGTCCCTTAAAGGCCAAAGCCAACCACTAGTGGTTTAGCTTCTTCCCCAAATCCCAAAGCACCCCTACACTTATTAATTCTCCCCATAATTAATTAATACCCTTGCTAATAATCCCTCTCTAAAATAAAAGGCAAAACCTAGGTGTACATTGGCTGGGGTACACCACGCTACTCACAAACAAACATATGTCTGCGTGTGTCTGTGAGAAGCCTCGTGTATGGCTTGTTTGAGAATAACGTTAACGATTAGCGTTAGCGTTTTGGATAAAATTTTAACGATTCATATTATTTTGAAAACGCTAACGTTAAACGTTGCTCATAGACAATCTTTTCAAAATCCTAACGCTAATCTCTAACAATATTCCCAAACAAGCCCACTCGGTACACCTAGCACTCCCAGAATAAAATCATAGTCAGGCGGTGGCTACTGCAAAAGAGCACCACAGACAAGGTGTCAGATCTCAGAGTTTTTTTTTCTTTCTTTTTTTAGGACACAAAGCCTAAACTTCAGGATCCAAGAGAATAAAAAAGTAGAAGCCGTTGAATGGAATCTTTCTAGGGAATACTTTTACTTCACTCAATAAATAAATAAAACTAAACCAAACCAATTTAATTACATGGGAAAGTGTTCGACCTAAACACCACAAAACAATTTAACTAATTATGCAATTTAGGAGATAGAAAATAGTGGGTTAAGACTTAAGGCCTTGTTTAATTAGTTAGGACTTGGGAGTATTATTTGGTTGAAGCGTTTGGGAATATCTATTTAGCCAAATAAATAAGTCAAAAGGTAAGTATTCTTGCGATAAGGTTATACTACCAAACAGTAAGGGTTAATTGAAAACAATTAACACAGATTAAATTGCATTTGACCGTTAGTATTGCAGGCTTTGACCCTGTTTAGTAAGTAAAATGTTAGAGAGGTAAATCTAAAATGTTAATAGCAAAACATTGATTCTATAATCATTTCAAACCAGCATTTTGTTCAACGAACTGCTTATTTAAGATGCTAATTGACTAACCCAACAATTGAAATAACAATTTGACTTGTGAAAACTGTTATTTTGACTCAAATTGCAATTTCCTCCATCCCCCCCAAAAAAACTTGTCACTTTTGCTTTCCAGACGTTCGAAAAAACAATATCAATATTTTTTTATTTGGTTTTAAAATAATGAACATGCAACTCACATAATATCGTTTTCACCTATACACGTTCTGACTACACAACTTTCACTTTTCAACATTTTTTAAACACCGTTAAACTCAAACTAGGCAACATTTTTCGGGGATAGAGGGAGTAAAAAAGAAACAGGATAATGCTCAAGAAGATGATGTTTATTTACCATGATGAAGACCAAGTCCAAATTGTGGAAGCATGGCATATTGGCATTGACAGTACATAAATCCACTTTCTTACAATGCATCTGACAAACACCACATGCCCATATAAAAGAAACAAAGAAAAGAAAAGAAAAGGCAATAGAGAGGTCCAGACTTCACTAAAACTCCACACACATAATAAAAGAGAGCCCTCCTTTTCCTTTCCCCCACATGAAAATGACTCATTCCTCCTCCTAAATACTACAGTACTACCAGATCTGGCCCACCCCCTTGACCCCCCCATCCCCACCCCCACCCCACCACCTATATCCAAACCCATGCTTCCCTCACCTCCAAGTTAGCATCTTTGATCCAAAAACATTTTGTTTTTCCCAAATTGACCCCGCCTC